GGGAAGAGGGAGTGTTCACTTGCATAATTCCCTGGGGTGTGAGGTGAGTTAATAATTAGCCAACACTCATACAGGTGCAGATGAATTGCATCCTGTATTGGCATGCAGAGCACCCCCAAAGGAACAATCCTGCACTAGTAAGAGTTGCTGGACTAAAAGATTCAGTGGGTCTCATCTCAAACTCGTAAAGACACAAACAATTAGACACTTACAGAATTAGTCCCAGTCACACATGCACTGCAGGCTTAGCTAACGTGACAACTCAGACTCAGGGCAGTCTGAACAGAGCAGGTGGATTACTTGTGTATCTCTAACTCTAATCTGCACAGCTCCACAGTCCATCCAGACGCTATATTTATAAATTCAGCAAACTCCAAAATCAGCACACGAATCCTCTGTATACCTCATACAAGATATTATGCATTACCAGACACTTGCCTGACAACTACTAATCTCTGTATACACTGAAGAAGGGAATTTTTATATACATAAGGAAGTCTTGTTTGTACAGGATTCTACCAACACAAATGTATTTTATTACAAAAGAACCCCCAAGAAGTTAATTAAAAGCACTATTCAAGTAGGGACTGTACCATTTTACTCTTATAAAAACATAGCAACTGGAAAATGACGACATTAGATTTACAGACGCTCCCCAACTTACACAAGGTGTTCTGTTCCGGAACACCTTGCGTAAGTCGAATTTTCCGTAAGTCGGAAATGTATACCCGACAATTACGCAAAAAAAAAGCTTACGGAACTTTTTCCGTAAGTCCGGATTTGCGTAAATCGGTTTGCGTAACCTGCAGAGCGTCTGTATTATTATTTAATTTATTCCCCAGGAATTGGTCCCTACAGCATATTTAATAGTGCTTTATCCTATCTAGTTTTTATCACTTCCCTTGGGCTATACATCCACAGTTTAATAAACCTCACAGTTAGAATTTCAACCTACACTGTCTTTCCTTCCAGCCCTTAGTCTTTGGCCGAGTACCCACTACATTTCAAAAGTCATGCTAGATACCAAAGTGGAGAAAATGCATTCCCGTCCACTTGCCAACTACTGAAAAGGCAACGGGATCTTAATGGTTAGAGCAGGGGATGAGGAATAAAGAGCCCCGCGTTTTATTCCCAGCTCTGCTGCTAACTCACTGCGTGAACTTGCACAAGTCACTCAGTCTCGCTCTGCCTGGTGTCCACTTTTCCCATCCATAAAATAAGGATAATCGCTAAGTGATAGGGTCATGATGAGGCTTAATTAAAATGCTTTTAACAACAATGAGGTTCTGCAAGTGCAAATTATTATTACTGTTTTGGTCTAGGAAAGGACCAGATATATAAGGCAGCTTTCTCCAGCCCTCCAAAAGCTGAATAGTAACTAGGCTACATCTACACTGCCACAGTTGTACCACTGCAGCTGCAGTAAGGTCTCCCAAGTAGCCGCTCTATGCCGATGGGAGAGAGCTCTCCCGTGGGC